TAGGAGCCAAGAGGAACAGACGTGCCAAATTTCAAGTTTGTAGGCTTGACGGTTCTGGAGATTTTGTGATGATGCGTGAGGAGCATTTCGCTTTTATATAGATAGATTTCTAATTTCCATTTTTGTTCTCCAGCCATTGATAGAAGAGTTCCCACATCATATAAGCAGTGATGGTGAACCCTTTTCAGCACTGAGTGCTCAAACCAGAACACACATGCATGCGCAGGCCTCTTTTGGGGATGTTTTTGGGCCCGTTTTCCAGGCCATTTTCGGGCTATTTTTCAGGCCATTTCCAGACTGTTTTTGGCCATTTTTCGGGCCATTTTTGCCTCCCCCCCCCAAAAAAAGCCCTGTAAACGGCCTGTTTTGGGCCGATTTTGGGGCCAATTTCCAGGCTGTTTTTCAGGCTGTTTCAGGCTGTTTTTCAAACCATTTCCAGGTGGTTTTTCAGGCCATTTTACGGACTGTTTTCAGGCCAAGAATAGCCTGAACAAAACGGCCTGAAAAAGGCCCAAAACACTCTGGTTTTTGGGCGATTTTCAGGATGTTTTTCAGGCTGTTTTTCAAACCATTTCCAGGCAGTTTTTCAGGCCATTTTACGGACTGTTTTCAGGCCAAGAATAGCCTGAACAAAACGGCCTGAAAAAGGCCCAAAACACTCTGGTTTTTGGGTGATTTTCAGGATGATTTCTGGACCATTTCTAGGTCATTTTTCAGGCCGTTTCCCAGGCTGTTTTCAGGCCATTTTACAGACTGTTTCGGGCCAAAACAGCCCGAAAAACAGCCTGAAAAAAGGTCTGAAAACGGCTTGGTTTTTTTGACTCCAGCACCCACGAAGATCAGCTGTCCAGCACTCATGTGCATGGCAGATCAGCGGGCAAATGGCGTGCATGTCCACTGAGAGGACTCTGCGTGCCACCTCTGTCCTTCATGCCATAGGTGGACTTCAACTCCCAGAATTCCTTGCAATTAAAGAGGAAGAACAAACTGAATACTATGTATGACATCATGGCCATTTTCTTTAGGAATCGCAAGGAATTCTGGGAGTTGAAGTCCACAACACGGAATTAGTTAACCTTGAAATGCCCCCCCTGCCAAGAATCCATCAGGGGTTCTCATGAACGCCCCCCCCAACCCCTTCCAATCCTGGCAACCCGCCCTCCTCCCCAAAGCCACCAGAGTCCCAGAATGCTTTGCTCTCCCTACCTACAAGCTCACCTGGCAATAAAGGTAATACAGGCCCCTTTTGATCACCGTGAACTCGCCGCGGCTGTTGTCGTAGCGCAAGGGGTTGGTGGCGTTGAGCTTCGCTTCCGACCACCCGCGGATGGTCCCGTTGGCATCTGGAGGGCGAGGGGAGATGGGCGAAGGGAAGGGGGAATGAACATGGGAGGGGAGGGGCTGTGGGGAGGCCTCGCCCCTCCCCCTCCCACTGCACAAGGTGGGGAAAGCCACCCGACGCAACTGCCCAGGTGCCCTTCCCATGTGCCACCACAATGTCGCCCACTTTGGGATGGTGCTGGCTGGGCTGGTGCAAGGAGGATGGGGGAGAGGCCAGCCCGGGGGAGGGGCAGCCAAGGTGTCCCACCTGCCTTCCAAAAGCTTTCCCCCCACCCCCAGACCCCTAGAAGTGTTACCTGCCTGCATCCCAGCTCGTCCTACGGTGGCTTGGACTGAAAGAGAGAGAGAGAGAGAGAAAGAGAAAGGGAGAAGGAAGGAAGGAAGGAAGGAAGGAAGGAAGGAAGGAAGGAAGGAAGGAAGGAAGGAAGGAAGGAAGGGCGAGCGAGCATGGGAGGGAGGGAGGGAGGGAGGGAGAGGGAGGGAGGGAGGAAAGGAAGGGAGGAAGAAAGGGAGGAGGAAAGAAGGAAGGAAAAGCGAGGATGGGAGGGATGAAGGAGAGGAGGTTGGGAGGGAGGAAGAAAGGAAGAAGAGGAGGAAGGAAAGTGACAGGAAGGGGGGAGAAAGGAAGGGAGGAGGAAAGAAGGGAGGAAAAAAGAAGAAAGAAGGAAGGAAAAGCGAGGAAGGAAGGAGAGGAGGGAGGGAGGAAGGAAAGAAAGAGGAAGGGGGAGGAAGAAAAGAAAAGGAAGGAAGAAGGGAAGAATAGGGGAGAGAGAAAGAAAGAAAGAAAGAATCAGTTTGACGGATGGATGTCCAGTGTGGAGGCTCCAAATACTCGGAAGCCCCCTCCCTCCGTTTCCCCCCCCCCAAAGACCCTGGCATCTCTCCTCTGGGGTGGGGGTGGGTGGGTGGGTGGGGCTGAGGACCAGGGGAGACCCTCCCTCACCTTCATAGTGAGCGGCGCAGATGGTTCCTGTCCGGCATGGCCGCAGTCGCTTCCCTTTCTCAGCTGAAGGGGGAAAAAAGGGGAGGGGGTTATTTGGGTGGGTGGGCGACCTCAGAAAATAAGACAACAGCAGCCACCGTCCATTTTCCTGCCCCTCAGAATCCAGGCAGTCCTCGACTTACAACGGTTCATTTATTGACCGTTCTAAATTAGCACGGCACTCAAAAAAAGGGACGTGACCGTTTTTCACACTTAACGACAGTTGGGGCCTCCCCACGGTCATGCAATCAAAATTCGGACGCTTGGCCACTAACTTGTATTTATGACAGACGCCCACTGACTCGTATTTATGATGGTGGGGGGTGTCACAAGATCCCCTTTTGTAACCACCGATGAGCCAAATCCAAGGGGAAGGCAGATTCAGTTCACGACCTTCGTGATTCGCTTAACAACGGTGGCTGTAAAATGGGACATCCTTTGACAAAGGTCTTGCCTTAGCCATGAAGATTTTGGGCTCAATTGTAGTCATTAAGTCGAGGACTGAGAGAAAGCAATTGCTCTCTGTCTCCCCCCACAATTACTGATTTATGGAGGTCGTCCTTGATTTATGACCACAATGGGGGACAAGTTTCATCGCTAAGCAAAACAGTCGTGAAGCGAATCGTGCTCAGTTTTGCAACTTTGGCCACGGTTGTTATGCAAATCACTTCCGTTGTTAAGTGAATTGCATGGTCGTTAAGTGAATCCGGCTCCCCAATTGTTTCTACTTGTCGGAAGCCGGCTGGGAAGGCCACAACGGGTGATCCCATGACACTGCAACGGTCATAAGTGCGAAGCCCAGCCGTAAGTTCCATTTTGCCTAATGTTGCACAGTTGCTAAACGAATAATGGTCGTTAAGTCGAGGACTACTGTTCTGTCCCGCCTTAAGAAGGAGCCACTTACCTTGCCTTCGATGCCGCAGCGCCCCCTCCTGGGCAAAATGGTGCAGGAACTTGCCTTGGTTGTCCCAGCTGGAGGAGAGCACCACCTAGAGGACAAGAGAGGTAACTGCAGGTGACCCAAAGTTTGGGCAAAAATTGGCAAAATTTGGGGGGGAAGTGCACAAGTTTTAGCCTATCCCGACCCCAAATTTTGACAAAGGCACCTTTGCAGCCACTACAAAGCCCGTCGGTCACCAAAAGACGGGACGCACTCCACGAAAGTCTCGAAGCAGTGAGCCAAGCCACGTTGCTCTAAGGAAAAGTCTCGCTCCATGGTGCTCCGACTTTGGAGGTTCTTAAGAGGAGATTGGACAATCCTTGGAATGGTGTAGTATAGGGTTTCCTGCCTAGGCAGGGGGTTGGGCTAGAGGATCTCTAAGGTCCCTTCTAACTCTGTTATTCTGTTTCTGTTCTATAGAAGACAAATAGCTTTGTCAGCCCATACAACCCAGAAAGGAATTGGCTGATCCTTCCTCGGGCCCGCTTCATTCTCCCTCAATTTGTCCTTCTTTCCCACAAGGAAAACCACAACTACAACCAAAATGGTTGCGAGTTTCCTGCTTAAATCTCTTAAAATCATTTACAAAAATTTAATGTCTTCTCTCCCCCTCCCACCAAAAATAATAATAATAAAGAAATAAATAAATTTAGTCTAAGAGACCTTCTGAACGAGATTTTACAGATTTAGGAAAACAGGGGCGGCATTTACTCATGCTAGAAATAATGGAACCTCCATGCTCAGAGGCAGTCTATCCCAAGAATACCAATAGCTTGCGAGGTGGTGGGAAGGCGAAACGAGGAAAATCTTATTCGTCATCTTCTTTTAATTACTCTGTAATCCCTTGCAGGGCGGAGTCTGGGCAACTGAATGGAGCTTTGAGTGTTTTACTGGCCAGATGCCCTTCCTGTCGCCAGTACGGAGTTTTGTTTGGCAGATATATTCTCATTGTGCTCAGAGAGAGAAATAGCTGCCTCTCCCTAGGATCGAACTCACAGCCTCCTTATTGTGAGGCAAGAGCTCCACCTCTAGACTACCGCACCACTCTAGGAAACCTTCATTATTCTTATTCATTTATTAATTCGTTTATTCATTTATTTTTTTATTAAACTAATAATAATAAAAAGTATTCAATAAAAATAATTTATGAATTAATTTGTATTTTATTGTTTGGTGGCAATAAATGGTAGCCTTAGCTTAGATGGATAGAAGGCCCTTTGAATATTTTATCTCCCCATGCTGGTTTCATCCTGGCTTGTTCAAGACCAGGGTTAAGGCCGGCTTATTTCCCCAAGGGTGGGCTTTATAATTTTTTCCCCCCTAATTTTGGGATGGGTGGGGGATGACTAATTAGATTAGATGATTAGATTAGATTAAATTAGATTAGATTAGATTAGATTAAACAGAGTTGGAAGGGACCATGTAGGTCATCTAGTCCAACCCCCCACCCAAGCACCATTTCTGATAAAGGGCAACCCAGAGTTTTAAACCTGTGTGGTTGTGCAAAAGCTTTTTGGCAAACTTGGAGCGACGACGATGAAACCACAAAAAGCGTTTTTTCCTTTTGGTGTGATACAGACAGTCCTCACCTTATGACCACAATCGAGAGCAATGTTTCCATCGCTAAGTGAGAAAAAGAGTTTGCCTCCGCCCGCTTTAGGACCTGCTGCTTAGTGAGACATTAGTTGAGTTTTGTCCCGTTTTACGACCTTTCTTGCCGCCGTCGTGAGATAAAGTTACTGCGGTTGTTAAGTGAGTCCCATGGCCGTTAACTGAATCCAGCTTTCCCCATTGACTTTGTCTGTCAAAAAGTCGTAAAAGGGGACCCTGTCATAAATTTTGAGTCCAAAATACTTGTCATGAAGTGAAACATTTGTTCAGTTAATTTTGCTCCATTTTACGACTGCCTCGTGCCGCTGTCATGAAGCGAATCACGGCGGTGGTTAAGTGAGTCATGCGGCCATTAAACGAATCCAACTTCCCCCCTGGCCCAAAGGCTGCAAAAAGGGGATCACTTGACACTCCCCACCGGGCTATTTGAACCATCATGAAGATGAGACACTGCAATCGTCGTAACTGTGAGCCGACTGCCAAGTGTCTGAATTTTCATCACGTGATCGTGGGGAGGGGGGATGTTGTAAAGGTCGTAAGTCTGAAATAAGCGGCCCCAAAAGTCACTTTTTTTCAGGGCCGCTGTCGCTTTAAACGGTCGCTAAACAAAACGGTCATAAGTTGAAGACCACCCATCATGCAAAGTTTCCATTTTTGTGCATGGTTAACCAAAGAAAATTTTTGCTTACCGGATCCAGTTCCTCCGTCAGCAGGTTCTGAGGACCAGAAAGAAAAGCCCAAATCAAGCCCCCGGACTACACAAACCATCCTCCCCTGCCACCGTTGCCCTTTCCGAAGAAGGAAGAGGCATTATGTGAACACGAAACCCAACTTTTTCGTGTGAAGGTTTTGGCTAAAGAACCAGGATCGAACCAAACACACCTGGGTATTTTTTTAACAACAACAAAAAAAGTTGTCCTCTAGTTACGACGAGAATGCCTTCTTGCCTATCACAGTCGTAAATCGAGTTATCCTTGCAACCAACCTGATTTGACAACTTTTTCTTTCTTTCTTTCTTTCTTTGACGGTGGTTGTTCAGGGAATCCATGGTTTGCTTAGCGGCCAGCTTTGGCCAAAAAATTTTTTTTGGGGGGGAATGTTGATTTTGCCGAAAACCGTCACAAACGCAGTTGCATGCAAACGGATGTAAATGTGGAACAATAGTCAAGTGTACAGCATGTGATCCCATGAGCGGGTGAAGAGGCAGCCTTGGGAACTGGGTGATTTCCCCCCCCCCTTCCAGGGAGGTCCGTCATAACTTTTGAATAGTCACTAAGCAAGTCACCGTAAACCGAGGACTATGTGAAGTGTCCAGGAAAACCAGGATGGTTTCCGAGATGGATGAAAATTGTGCATCTAACACAACCTTGACAGCCTCCAAATGTGTGGATTTCGTTCATCTCCCAGTTGTGCAATGTTTGTGTGGTGTGTGTGTGTGTGTGTGTGTGTGTGTGTATGTTCTGCCACTTTAAAGATTTGTGGACTTCAACCCCCAGAATTCCTCAGCCAGCCATTGGCTTAAAAATGGAGATATATTACATCCGGCCACATTTCCTGCCATCTATGGAAAGAATTATCCAATCAAAAATGGGGATTAAAAAAGTAGTCCAACCACGTTTCTTCATGCTGGCTGGGGAATGCTGGGAGTTAAAGTCCACAGGTCTTGAAAGTTGCCAAGATTGGGGAGGGGGGGGCAACCATTGTTTGTGCAAGGGTCTTCAAACTTGGCAAGTTTTAAGATTTGTGGACTTCAACTCCCAGAATTCCTGAGCTGCATTGACTGGAGGAGGAATTCTGGGAGTTGAAGTCCACAAGTTCTTCAAGCTGTCACATAGGCTAGTGGCTGAAAATTCACACTTTGACCCCACCTGGATCCTTGCAAGACTCTGTTCTCTACTTACAACCACAACTGAGTCCAACGTTTCCATCCTAAGCGAGACGGTCATTAAGTACACTTTTGCCCCATTTTACGACCTTTCTTGCCGCCGTTGTTCAGTGAATCACTGTGGCCCTTGATTTAGTAACCCCGGCGTTTAGTGAATCCCCGTGGTTGTTAAGTGGGCAGCACGGTCATTAAGTGAAATCGGGCTTCCCCATTGACCTTGCTCATCCGAAGGTCGCAAAAGGGGACATTGCAGTGGTCGTAAAAATGAGTCCGTTTCTAAACATCTGAATTTTGATCCGGTGACCACGGGGATGCTGCTACGGTCGTTAAGTGTGAAAAATGTTCACTTTTTTGTCAGTGCCATTGTAATTTTGAACAGTCACTAAACGAATTGTCGTAAGTCGAGGACTGCCTGTGTTTCTTAACCAGTTAGCCGTCAATCAGGGCTTACACCTGGAGAGAAGTGTGGTATAGGTTCTCCTGCTTGAGCAAGAGGCTAGACTAGAAGATCTTCAAAGTCCCTTCCAACACTGTTATTCTGTTCTGTTCTGTTCTGTTCTGTTGTTCTGTTCTGTTTCTCTTCTGTTCTGTTCTGTTGTTCTGTTTTGTTGTTCTGTTCTGTTCTGTTCTGTTCTATTCTGCTCTGTTCTGTTCTGTTCTGTTGTTCTGTTCTGTTCTCTTATGTTCTGTTCTGTTCTGTTGTGTTCTATTCTATTCTATTCTATTCTATTCTATTCTATTCTTCTGTTGTGTTGTATTGTGTTCTATTCTATTCTATTCTATTCTATTCTATTCTATTCTATTCTATTCTTCTGTTGTGTTGTGTTGTGTTGTGTTGTGTTGTGTCGTGTCCTGTCCTGTTCTGTTCGATTCTAATTTTCTATTCTATTTTCTATTTCTATCCCTGGGAAAATCCATTTGAAATGTATTTGAAATGTACAAGACGGGTTGAAGGCTCCAGGCCCGAGCAGAGGTTGCTATGGCAACATAGCAAAACAGATGTCCCAACTCCCCAGCTGTTTGTGTGCCTTGCAAAAAAAAAAAAAAAAAGGAAAAAAACCTATTTTTAAAAAAAATAAAAAGGGAATTTGCTGATTGTTTTTTGCTCAGCTGGTGGCGAGGTTTCTAAATTTTTTTTAAAAAAAATTGCATCTGGGAGGGAAGCCAAACCCATCTATGTTTAGCCCCAGCAGCGGAACAGACCTCCCCAATATATATATATATATATATACTGGCGCTTACGGGGTTGGGAGGCACGTTCTCCCCAGATGTGGGGCTGGAGGTCTCCAACATCTGGACACACCTGTTTGGGTGGTGCATGGGTTGGGTTGGGTTGGGCCTGAAATCGTACCCGAGTTTTCTTTAATCCCCTCTTTCTGAGTTCCGGCAAAAGGAGTTCAAACCAAAATAAGAAATAAAAATAAAAATGTTTTTCTGGAATCAAATCTCTCTCTCTCTCTCTCTCTCTCTCTCTCTCTCTCTGTGTGTGTGTGTGTGTGTGTATTTCCCCCCCCAAGCCAGTCGTAGCAAGAGAAAAATAATAAGAGTTTACGTGAGCAAGAGTTTGAAGAAGAAAAGTGATTGCAAACAAGACGTAGGCTACAAAATTTGACCTGGGGGAAATAGAGGGTGCAGCTCTCAAAGCCCCCTGCACATGCTCCGTGGTTCTCTTTTCTCTTTTCACCAATCAATAACTATAAAAAATAGACAATTTATTTATTTTATTTTTATTGTTATTGATCGGTTTGTATCCTGCCTTTTACTTTTACAAACCAGCCAAGGAGGGAGGGAAAAACATGTTCCTCCTCTTATTAACCCAGAACAACAACCTTGTGAGGTGGGGCAGGCAGAGAGAGAGAGAGAGAGAGAGAGAAAGAGAGACAGAGACAGAGACAGAGACAGAGAGAGAGAGAGAGAGAGAGAAAGAGAGAGAAAGACACAGGGACAGAGAGAGACAGAGAGAGAGAGACAGAGACACACAGAGAGAGAGACAGAGAGAGAGACAGAGAGAGAGAGAGAGAGAGAGAGAGAGACAGAGAGAGAGAGAGAGACAGAGTCACAGAGAGATAGAGACAGACAGAGAGAGACAGAGACAGAGAGAGAGAGAGCCAGAGAGATAGAGACACAGAGAGAGAGACAGAGAGAGAGACAGACAGAGAGAGAGACAGAAAGAGAGACAGAGACAGAGAGAGAGAGAAAGAGACAGGGACAGGGAGAGACAGAGAGACATAAAGACATAAAGACAGAGAGAAAGAGAGACAGAGACAGACAGAGAGAGAGACAGAAAGAGAGACAGAGACAGAGAGAGAGAGAAAGACAGAGAGAAAGACAGAGGGAAAGACACAGGGACAGAGAGAGAGAGACTGAAAGACAGAGACAGAGACAGACAGAGGGAGAGAGACAGAGAGAGAGAAAGACACAGGGACAGAGAGAGAGAGAGAGAGAGACACAGAGAGATAGAGACAGAGAGAGACAGAGAGAGAGAAAGAGAGAGAGAGAGACAGAGACAGAGACACAGAGAGAGAGAGACAGACAGAGACAGAGAGAGA